AAACAGGCGGTGCGGCGGGCAGCGCAGGCAGTGGAGAGGCTCGCAGCGACGGCGAGGGAGGAGCTGCCACCCCCCCTCTAGTGACGGCGTGTGCGCCCACCCACTAGTGTCTGCACACGCCCACTAGTGTCTGCACACGCCCACTAGTGTCTGCACACGCCCACTAGTGTCTGCACACGCCCGCTAGTGTCTGCACACGCCCACTAGTGTCTGCACACGCCCACTAGTGTCTGCACACGCCCACTAGTGTCTGCACACGCCCACTAGTGTCTGCACACGCCCACTCACCATCTCTCCACCCCCCCTCTACAGGCGGTACGGAGGGCAGCGCAGGCGGTGGAGCGGCTGGCAGCCACAGCGAGGGAGGAGCTGCCTTCGGCTCGTGTTTGTTCAATTCCTGCTGGCTTTCCAGTCTCACTCGCTCCCATTCACCTCTCCCCCCGTCCCCCAGGCGGTGCGGAGGGCAGCACAGGCTGTGGAGCGGCTGGCAGCGACGGCGAGGGAGGAGCTGCCGGGGACCATGGCGGCAGTGCGGCTGTCAGGGATGGAGATCAGCGACCTCACCATGGAGCTCAGCGACCTCAGGTGAATCCTCAGGTGTTTTTTCAGGTGATTTTCAGTCTCTAGGTATTTCAACTGCCGTCTCAGGTAGTGGCTGGAGCTGCGAGGGACCAAGATGCCTGTAAGGCTTACAGGCTGTCATAAACCTCAGGTGCGTCAGGTGAGACTCTGTCGATTATAAGGTGACACCTCAGGTGGGGCTCAGGCGATTTTTCTGGTGGATCCTCAGGGGACACCTCAGGTAAAAGTCACGTGAGGTGTCAGGTAGGAACCTGGTCTGCTCTGTTGTATTTCAGAGACCTCGAACATGTCTTACGCGCACCACCAATACAACTCCTCGCCTATCTCTCTCTCCCCCCCCATGCCACCATCGTCCCATCTCTCCCCACCCGTCTGCCTGCCCATACAGCCACGAGATCTCTCAGGGAGTGCGCAGTCCTGCACGGGCGTCCCGCTATCTGCCCGCCCGTTCTCTTCTCCATCACTCCATCCCTCCATTTTTCATCTCTCCCAACTGCCTGCCCGTCTGCCTGCTCATCTGCCCACCCTTCCAGCCACAAAATCTCCCAGGGAGTGCGCAGACCTGCACGGGCCTCCCCTCATCCACCCGCTCATCGATCTCCCCATCACTCCATCTCTCCATGTTTCCTCTCTCTCTCTTCTGCCTGCCCATCTGCCCACCTGACCAGCCACGAGATCTCTCAGGGAGTGCGCAGTCCTTCACGGACGTCCCGCCTTGCCGCCAGCACCAGCAGCACCAGGGCCAAGGAGCAACACACTGCTGGTAAGTGCTGGTAGCCGCTGGTAACCAGGTAACCACGTGCTGTGCTCAGGTAATGACCATGCTGATCTGTGCATGATCCCACCGCTGCCTCTTTAACAAAATCTTCTGAACATACCCTCATACTCCATCCTCCTGGTGATCAACTCAAAAGCCTCTTTAACAAAATCTTCTGAGCATACCCTCATACTCCATCCTCATGTAGCCCTCCTTCCTTCCTTTTAGTTCCTTTAGGACTTCCTTTTCCTGCCAACCCCTCCCCCTTTCCAACCGCCCCTCCCTCACACACTCCCCGTGCCTTGCCCCGTCCTCCTCCCTCGCCCCTCCTACCAGACTCTCTCAAGGACGCCACAGTGATCCCCATCCGCGTGGTAAGCCCTCTCTTCTCCTCGGCTGCCGGTGCGGTCGGTGCTGCCGCCTCCACAGTCGGCTCTACAGTGTCTCACGTGGGCGGCACGGTCGGGGCGGCGGCGTCGCACGTGGGCGGCACGGTTGGGGCGGCAGCGTCACATGTGGGGGCGGCAGCGTCGCATGTGGGCGGCGCAGCGGCTCACATTCCCTCGGTAGTATTCAACCTCGTGGATTTTCTGCCGTGGGGACACCGGAGAGGTAGTGAGGGAGGAGAAACTGGAGGGGAAACAAACGGAGACACAGCAAACGCCCACTCTACTGCTGCTGCTAAACTGGCTGCAAAGCCTGCTGCAGATTCTGCAAAGCCTTCTGCCTCTGCCGCTGCTCCTGCTGACATCCCTGGTAGGACCAACTCCGCTGCTCCTGCAACTAAAGCAGCAGCGGCTACTTCAGCTTCCTCTGGTGCTGCCTCCGCTGGTCCTCACTCCAGAGCACCTTCCAAGCCAGTCGCCACAGGAAGGGCCAGACCTATCCCAAGTGGATCAAGCCCAGACCAGCAATCGCCCGAATCACTCCACCACAGGCCCCACCAGCCTCTCCAGCCTCTGAATTCCCACGAGTTTCACCAGTTGAACGAGAATCAGCAAGCTCATCATGGGAGTGTGGGGTCTCGAAAGGCGGCAGGAGCAGGTGACACAAGGCAAGAGGTGACGGTGGGGGCAGCTGCAGAGGAGCATTTTGAGCTGTCATCGCTGCCGTCGTTGGTGGGGTGGCTGCAGCACAGAAAGGACAAGGAGAAGCACCCTAGGGGAGATGCGAAGGGGTGAACGAAGGTGTTACTGATTAGGGATTTTGATTAGAAATGAGGGCCATCAGTCAGGACTGGGGGTAGGTGTCCTCATGCAGTAAGGACAAGTTGAAGCGGCCAAGGGCAACCTCTAGATATCAAAGCAAAGCGTACACAGTCGGTCGGAGCCATGGTGATATGAGGGTTGTGACTGCCGAGTCGTGACAGGTTCTGGGTGGTGCTTATTGATTTGTGACCGGCGTTTGACATCGGGCTGTGGGTCCTGATAAAAAATAGACCTACATTTTGTATTGTGTGGCCTTGGCATAAACCGTTCCAGCTTGCATACGGTCATTTCGGTTGAATCTATGTACAGGGTGAAATTTGTTTTCAGCAATTCTACAATCTATTGCCGCGCTGGAATCACTGCAAGTGCGCCAGTTTCTACCGAAGCATGCGCCAATCTCCTGCCGCCCGATCTGGTTCTGTCTGGCCCTCTTCCCCAATCTGGAATCTGCTCCAATTCCCCAATTCAAAGCAGCCCCATTTACCCCTCCACATATCTCGTTAGCCCCCACCCTATGGCCAGCGTTTCCTTGTACGCTGTCGTTATGAGTAGTCGACGGGGCAGGAGTAGAAGCAGGGGAGTATAGCCTTCGCGTCGCGATGCAACCGCCGGACGCATTTTTTCCCGTCTACAGGCGAGTGTTCGGCTCATCATTTCTCCAGCCGGCAGCGCAGCAGCAGCACGGCGTGGAGTGGCAGACGCGGTTGCGCCACGTGTACTTAATGGGCGTCATAGTCGACGTGGATAAGCTCCCCTTTAAGTTCGTCCGATTCGCCTTAGATGACGGCAGCATGACCGCCGCCAGCTGCGCTCGCCCCGCCCCTTCAACCGCCCCGTTCCCCGACCCGTCCCCCGCACCGCTCCCGGTCTCGTCACCCGCCCCCCCGCGCACCGCCTCCGCCCGTGTCCCTGCCCCTTCGGCTATCGCGACACCCCCAGCGCGACTTACGGGCGCGTTACCAGTCGCCGCACGGCAACTGTCCACCGTTTGTGCCACGCGGCCTGTGCGCGCAGTGCCATGTGTGCTGTGGCTCAACAGTCGCGATCACGCGGAGCGCCACGTGGCGATGCTGCAGGCGGCCACGTGTGTCCACGTGGGCGCGCTGGTGGGCGTGCGGGGAAGAGTGATGGTGTTCAATGGACGGAGGCAGGTAAGTGACGGATGAAATTGGGGTTTTGAACATGCGCAGAAAGTTTGGGGTAATCGCGGCATGGGTAGGAGACGCGTGAGAATGGGGAGATCCTGGCCGAAGCAGCGGGATCATGCGGAAATACGTAGGAAATATGGGTGCTCGATTCTGGATGAGAGCAATACCAGTGCAGCTTTCATCCTGCGTCCGTGTTTCTATGTAGGATGACACGCACGCATTTGATGGTGCAGGTGACAGTGGATGCGGTGTGCGCGATATCAGATCCCAACGAGGAAATATTGCACTGGCTGGATTGCCTCGAAACTTTACATCGGAGCTGATACATGATTGCCGTTCATGCAGAGATGTACTTTACACGTACATTATCAACAGCTTCTACATGTCTAGCGTTGCGAAGTCACTAAAATCATCAGCATTTGCATTTTAGCATACAGCACATGCTTTATCCGTTTTATCCTACAGACATACGAGCAGCCAAATAATATTACAATGGGCACCCATCCCTCAATGCTACCTCAGTTATGGCGTAGGGAAGAATAACGATAGGAAAACAAGCGAGCAACCCAATACCGCGGACAACCAGCCTCGCGAGAAGCTTAGTTTGAAGCGGAGCTCTCAGGCATGGCACGGTGGTACGCTGCCATCGCGCAGTCCACACCGAGAACAGACGCAGCCTCGTACGCGCGGGGAGTTCCATCCAGGAATCCCGCGCCTAGCTCCCCGTCAGCAGAGACCGGGCGATGGAGCGACGACACGAGCTGCTGGAAATCAATCGCACGGTCGACGTGGTCCTCCCTGTAAGTCTGACCCAGCACGCCGTGAACGTTCTCCGTGTAGTCGAAAGATGTAACGGCCACGTTGATATGAACTTCGGCGTCGCTGGGGGTCTGAAGTTTCGGGTGAGCCACACGCAGGCGGATGTCGAACGAGATGATACCGGCGATTGAGACGGTGTAGTAATCCACGTCGTACGGGCCCTGCTTCTCGTACGCACGGAGGGCGACCGTTAGGCCACCGTCGCCGTTGAATTCCTCGCCGAGCGCCAGCCGTTGGATCACGGTACCGTCAACCTCAATGGCCTTCATGTAACCAGCGCCGCGCTCCTGCTCCTTGCCGTTGCGGGCAACCAAACGGAGACGGTGGTCCGCACCGTTGGCGAACCACACGATACCGAGCTCCCTGAAATATCACACGAGGAAACGAAGTTTGGAAACTGGTCGACTAACCACTTGGGAAAAAAAAAAAAAAAAAAAAAAAAAAAAACGGCTCGATTTGTGCAAAAGAAGCGGCAGCGCTGCTTACTTGATCCACGTGTGAACGGCCTTTCCGTCGACAACAAGAGCCGCGCCCTCGGTACGGTCGTCGTAGTATCCCCTCAGCAGCATGTTCACGTGCACGTTCTTATCCGTCAGCAGGCAGAACGCCTTGTCGGGGCGGCCGTTGAAGTCGAAGTGCGTGCCGTGCGCGCCGGTGAAGTGCGGGTCATCGATGACCTCGGGATTGTCGTTGCACCTGCCGCCAGCACGCACCTGCAGGTACACGGGCTTGTCCTTGCCCTCGTAAATCGCTGCAAGGTCGCCGCATTCGAAGTTCTGCTCGCCAGCCATCAGATCGCAAGTCCCCATTCTGCGCTAAAAAAAACATTCAAGAGAAACGATAGAGATCAGAGCAGGACAACAAAAACTCCAGCACGAATCAAGTAGCGATTACGAGTAACATAGAGTAAGATGTCGGATACTTACTCTCTGCCGTTGCCGGGGATGAACTGCCAGTAGGTGCAGTCGTGGCTCGCGGCGCACTGGTTGCAGCACGACTCGGGGGTAGCCTTCTTCTTGGAGAACCCGCCGTTGGGCAGGATGGTCGCCCAGTGATTCCCCTTCTTTGTGGTAATGATAGACGTCTTGAACTTGGCGGGCCAGCCGCCCTTGGAGCAGTTCACGGCGGTGCATCCGCCCCAGCCCTTCTTAGCCAGGTCGTTGGGGCACTGCTTAGCATTCCACGACGAGCCTTTGATCCGAACCTCGCCCGCGTCGAAGGTGCTGGATGAATCCGTGTAGCTCGTCAGGTCGGCGCCCTTGGCGGAGGAAGCACCGACCTGCTTGGGTGCCGTCGCCACCGGCTTCTTCGATTCGCCTTTCTTCGATCCGCCTTTCTTGGAACCGCCCTTCTTCACGCCTCCTTTGACCGAGCCTCCTGTCTTCACGCCCATGCCTACTTTGACCTCGCCTCCTGCTTTGACGCCTCCTTTGATCTCGCCTCCTGCCTTCACGCCTCCTTTTACCTTGCCGCCCGTTTTGCCCTTCTTGCTCAGCGTGCTCGCCTTGCCCGCCTCTGCGCAGATGATTACGGCAAGGACCAGCAACGCAAGAAACACGACGCTAAGACGCGCCATGGCGGCGGGAATTCTTACGAGCGAATCTGGGGTAGGGGAGTAACTCGAATTCCTGCTCTACTGTGAATCCCGTAAGCTTCTCTGCTACTATCTGATATTTGCCTGCTCCTCTCTAACTACTGAGGATTGTGTGAGCAGAGAACTCCTAGCAAGTGCTGTAAACCCGCTAGAATTTTTTTTCTCAAGATCTGATGGTAAACTCCAGGTGGTTTGGTCTTGGTTTTGAAGAGGGATGTTGCCCCGTGGGCGTCGAGCCAAGCAGAGTTGCCATTGGTTGCAACATGCCCAAACATTTGTTGCCCGTATCAGAACATGGTCTCAGGTGGAAGTGATGATACGGAGTGTAACAGCAGTCACACATCCCTTCAGCCTGGCAAAGACTGACGCGCCGCAGAGAGCCAGCTTGGCCCCTGGTGGCCTTGTTGCTAGTCTTGGACATGGCGACATGAAATACTGTGCAGGTAAATTTACAGAGACTGACTCTCTCGCAGGTTGACGGTTTGCATTCTTTCGCGAAGCGCATACAAGAACACCTGCGTCCCGATGCACCCATGAGGTTATCGACACAGATGCACGGACCAGTCCTGCACCTCCCTTTTTCCCAAAACTGTCTCCCTTCAAACTCCAACCAGGGTACGGCAGCAAAAAGAACGAACCGCAGGGAAAAATGTGCTCAACATTGACCCCAAAACAGTTGTGCATGGCATGGACCCGGCTCTTCGTTTGAGCTACTCTTGATTCTGTATATACTTCTCAAAAATAACAAGAGGCGACAAAATCGTCTTAGGGTTGCGAAGCTTTTACGCATTTGTAAACACCAAATATATTGTACATACTACTGCAGTATAACAGTTAGTCAGGTTTTGAAAAATGACTTCTGCAGGCATCGACCTCAAGACTTGTTCATTAATCATGGAAAACCAACTGTGCTAACAATGTCTCTTTGTTAATCGAGTCGCAAAACTCCTAAAAAATGTTTGCGACGAATCTGACACCTCTTTAGGGTTTGTTCGTCCCTCTTCTTCTCCCTCGCTAGTTGAACCCCCCTCAAGTTGGGCTCTACCTACCAGTTCAACTTCCTACTAAGGTGAGAACTACTTTAACCCATCAAGTAGATTAGGTTACGCGATTACGAGCTAGTCTAATATTGGCCTAAGGCATATTAGTCTAGGTCGTGTTGGTAGCTTTTAAAGGATGAAAATTGTTAAAGCTTATATTATAAACTTGCTGCAAATATTTTAGCTTCATGTTTTCCATAACCCTGCATCTGTTTTTCGGTTTTTCATCGACTAACATCTCTTAATCTCGTGTCTTAACTGTTTAGTAGGGATGCGGGTTATGTAAGCTAAGGGTAGAGGCCCTTTGTCTAGACTTCACTGTTTTTCCTTGCCTTTCTAAGGCCCTATTCTTTGTCTCTTACTGCATACCTAGCATCTATTTCTATTGTTCCTCATCGTTTCTGCCTTTCGTCTCTACGTCGTATGCATATTTTCACTTTTTGTTGTTCCTAAATCTAGAACCGTCGTATCCTCTGTCAGAACATGTCTATAGCTTATACTGCTGTGTAGGCTGTAGTGGGGTATCCCATAGGGGGTACAACCCAGTTAGGGTTTCACATTTGTACTGCTTTCACTCATAGTTCACATCATTCCTGCTTACTCATTTCACATGGTATAGAGCTAGGTCCCTCCAGGACCGATTTTTTTTTTTTTTTTTGGGCCCACCGAAGCGCGCCCCCGAGGCGCGATTTTTTTTAGCGACCCCTCGAGTCGCCCTCTCCCCTGCGGCCTCGCCGCCCACTCTGTCGCGGCCCCGCCCTGCTCCTTACGCGGCCCCGCCGCCTGCTCCTTACGCGGCCCCGCCCCGGCCCTTACGCGGCCCCGCGTCGCCTCCTACGCGACCCTTACGCGGCCCCGCGCCGGCCCCTTTACGCGGCCCTTACGCGGCCCTTACGCGGCCACGCCGCCGGCTCTTTACGCGGCCCCGCGCCGGCCCCTTACGCGGCCCTTACACGGCCCTTACGCGGCCACGCCGCCAGCTCCTACGCGGCCCCGCGCCGGCTTCTTACGCGGCCCGTCCCCGGCCCCTACGCGGCTCCGCGCCGGCTCCTACGCGGCTCTTACGCGGCCCCGCGCCGGCCCCCCCCCCTTACGCGGCCCTGACGCGGCCACGCCACCGGCTCCTACGCGGCCCCGCGCCGGCTCTCACGCGGCCCCGCAGCTGGCTCCTACTCGGCCCCGCAGCCGGCCCCTTAAGCGGCCCCACCGCCGGCCTCCTACTTGGCCCTGCCCCGGCTCCTATCACGGCCCCGCCCAGGCTCCTTCGCGGCCCTGCCCCGGCTCCTACGCGGCCCTACCGCCGGCCCTGACGCGGCCCCGCCCCGTCTCACTTCTACGCGACCCGAGCCGCCTGTCGCCGAGCAGCCCGGGACCCGAACCGCCCTGCAGCCGAGCCGCCCGGGAGCCGAGCCACCCTGCACCCGAGCCGCCCTGCAGCCGAGCCGCCCGGGAGCCGAGCCGCCCTGCACCCGAGCCGCCCTGCCGTCGAGCCGCCCGGGAGCCGATCCGCTGTACACCCGAGCCGCCCGGTCGCCGTTCTGCTTTTCTGTCGAGCTGCGCGACCTGCCCTGCCTGGTGAGCACAGTCCCACTGTCACTGCGTGCTCTCCCCCCTACTGCTTGCACTGCTTCACAGTCGTCGTCATGGCTACCCCTAGTGTCCTAGCTTTTGACGCTGAGGGTCGCGCCATTGATTTTGAGGTCTGGCTAGACGACCTGCAGCTGTTCTTACAGTGCGACAGGGCTGATGACCTTTCTCTCTTTGACCTCACCTCTGGCGCCTCTCCTGCTCCTGCTGCTGATGCTGATCCCGCTGTCCGCTCTAAGTGGGCCACCCGCGATGCTGCTGCACGTCTTGCTGTGCGTCGCCACCTCCCTACCTCTGAGCGTGCGCACTTTAGTCAGTACAAGAGTGCTCAGACCTTGTACGACGCTGTAGTTGCGCGCTACTCCTCCCCTGCCACTGCTGCACTGAGCCGTCTCATGCTTCCCTACCTCTTTCCTGACCTCTCTGCCTTTCCCACTGTCGCTGACCTCATTACGCACCTCCGCACTAGTGACACTCGCTACCGCGCCGCCCTTCCTGCTGAGTTCTGCGCTAGGAACCCCCCTCTCATATACATCGCTCTCTACTACGTAGTCGCGCGCCTCCCTGACTCCCTTCGCGTCGTCAGGGACCACTTTCTCGCAGTCTGTCCCACCACTCTCACCGTCGACCTCCTCGAGAAGGCCCTCCTTGCAGCGGAGAAGAGCATAGTCGCTGTAGGTGCTTCTCGTGGTGACCCTCGCACCCCCATCTTTGAGGGGTGCTCTCCTTCCCCCTTGCTGCCCTCTGTTGCCTCTGCTGCTGCTGCCGACCTGCTTGGTCTTGAGTCGGTCGGCGCGGCGTCTGCCCCTAGTGGGAGACGTCGCTCCAGCAAGGGCAAGGGAGGCAAGGGCGCGGGTGGAGCTGGGGGGGGCGGTGGCGGTGGCGGCGGTGGCGGCGGAGGGAGTGGGGGTGGCGGCGGGACTAGTGGCGGGGGTGGTGGTGGTGGTGGTGGCAGCAGCGGCGGAGACGGTGGTGGTGGTGCCAGCGGTGGTGGTGGAGGCAGCGGCGGAGGTGGAGGCGGCGGAGGTGGAGGCAGTGGAGGCGGCAGCGGCGGAGGCAGTAGTGGTGGAGGAGGTGGAGCTGGTCGGGGTGGTACCCAGCAGCGTAGCGGCGGTGGTGGTGGCCAGCGCTCGCACCGGCAGCAGCAGCAGCGCTCACGGGACATCCCTTCGCCTCAGCAGCTTCGTGAGTGGTACGCTGGGCGTCAGAGGGGTGGGGGTACTGGTCCCTGCACCTACGTTCTTCGTTCCGGCGACCGCGCGGGTGAGCAGTGTGGGGGTGCCCACGCCACCCAGCGCTGCTTTGGCCGCCTGACGGACGCTTGGCGTCAGCAGTTCCCTGGGGCTAGTGAGATCCCTCGCTGGGATGAGCTTCTCAGGGCTGGTGTAGCGATCTTTGATCTTGATTTTGATGCTATCCTTACTGCTATGTATGTTGTGGATTATAGTGAGGAGAATGAGGGTTACCGGTGTTTCCAGCCCGACCCGGGCATTGGTACTGCTGCGCTAGGTACTTGTGAGGCTGCTGCTCTAGGTGCCAGTGCGTCTGCGCTCTCAGGTACTGGTGAGACTGCGTTCTCAGGTACGGAG